GCAGATTTGAACTTTATCGCTTTAGGAGGACATGTTATATTCTGTTTCTTTAAGTCTCAAATCTTATGTCCTAAACTAATAAGGCAGATTTGAACTTTATCGCTTTAGGAGGACATGTTATATTCTGTTTCTTTAAGTCTCAAATCTTATGTCCTAAACTAATAAGGCAGATTTGAACTTTATCGCTTTAGGAGGACATGTTATATTCTGTTCTTTAAGTCTCAAATCTTATGTCCTAAACTAATAAGGCAGATTTGAACTTTATCGCTTTAGGAGGACATGTTTATCTGTTTCTTTAAGTCTCAAATCTTATGTCCTAAACTAATAAGGCAGATTTGAACTTTATCGCTTTAGGAGGACATGTTATATTCTGTTTCTTTAAGTCTCAAATCTTATGTCCTAAACTAATAAGGCAGATTTGACTTTATCGCTTTAGGAGGACATGTTATATTCTGTTTCTTTAAGTCTCAAATCTTATGTCCTAAACTAATAAGGCAGATTTGAACTTTATCGCTTTAGGAGGACATGTTATATTCTGTTTCTTTAAGTCTCAAATCTTATGTCCTAAACTAATAAGGCAGATTTGAACTTTATCGCTTTAGGAGGACATGTTATATTCTGTTTCTTTAAGTCTCAAATCTTATGTCCTAAACTAATAAGGCAGATTTGAACTTTATCGCTTTAGGAGGACATGTTATATTCTGTTTCTTTAAGTCTCAAATCTTATGTCCTAAACTAATAAGGCAGATTTGAACTTTATCGCTTTAGGAGGACATGTTATATTCTGTTTCTTTAAGTCTCAAATCTTATGTCCTAAACTAATAAGGCAGATTTGAACTTTATCGCTTTAGGAGGACATGTTATATTCTGTTTCTTTAAGTCTCAAATCTTATGTCCTAAACTAATAAGGCAGATTTGAACTTTATCGCTTTAGGAGGACATGTTATATTCTGTTTCTTTAAGTCTCAAATCTTATGTCCTAAACTAATAAGGCAGATTTGAACTTTATCGCTTTAGGAGGACATGTTATATTCTGTTTCTTTAAGTCTCAAATCTTATGTCCTAAACTAATAAGGCAGATTTGAACTTTATCGCTTTAGGAGGACATGTTATATTCTGTTTCTTTAAGTCTCAAATCTTATGTCCTAAACTAATAAGGCAGATTTGAACTTTATCGCTTTAGGAGGACATGTTATATTCTGTTTCTTTAAGTCTCAAATCTTATGTCCTAAACTAATAAGGCAGATTTGAACTTTATCGCTTTAGGAGGACATGTTATATTCTGTTTCTTTAAGTCTCAAATCTTATGTCCTAAACTAATAAGGCAGATTTGAACTTTATCGCTTTAGGAGGACATGTTATATTCTGTTTCTTTAAGTCTCAAATCTTATGTCCTAAACTAATAAGGCAGATTTGAACTTTATCGCTTTAGGAGGACATGTTATATTCTGTTTCTTTAAGTCTCAAATCTTATGTCCTAAACTAATAAGGCAGATTTGAACTTTATCGCTTTAGGAGGACATGTTATATTCTGTTTCTTTAAGTCTCAAATCTTATGTCCTAAACTAATAAGGCAGATTTGAACTTTATCGCTTTAGGAGGACATGTTATATTCTGTTTCTTTAAGTCTCAAATCTTATGTCCTAAACTAATAAGGCAGATTTGAACTTTATCGCTTTAGGAGGACATGTTATATTCTGTTTCTTTAAGTCTCAAATCTTATGTCCTAAACTAATAAGGCAGATTTGAACTTTATCGCTTTAGGAGGACATGTTATATTCTGTTTCTTTAAGTCTCAAATCTTATGTCCTAAACTAATAAGGCAGATTTGAACTTTATCGCTTTAGGAGGACATGTTATATTCTGTTTCTTTAAGTCTCAAATCTTATGTCCTAAACTAATAAGGCAGATTTGAACTTTATCGCTTTAGGAGGACATGTTATATTCTGTTTCTTTAAGTCTCAAATCTTATGTCCTAAACTAATAAGGCAGATTTGAACTTTATCGCTTTAGGAGGACATGTTATATTCTGTTTCTTTAAGTCTCAAATCTTATGTCCTAAACTAATAAGGCAGATTTGAACTTTATCGCTTTAGGAGGACATGTTATATTCTGTTTCTTTAAGTCTCAAATCTTATGTCCTAAACTAATAAGGCAGATTTGAACTTTATCGCTTTAGGAGGACATGTTATATTCTGTTTCTTTAAGACTCAAATCTTATGTCCTAAACTAATAAGGCAGATTTGAACTTTATCGCTTTAGGAGGACATGTTATATTCTGTTTCTTTAAGTCTCAAATCTTATGTCCTAAACTAATAAGGCAGATTTGAACTTTATCGCTTTAGGAGGACATGTTATATTCTGTTTCTTTAAGTCTCAAATCTTATGTCCTAAACTAATAAGGCAGATTTGAACTTTATCGCTTTAGGGAGGACATGTTATATTCTGTTTCTTTAAGTCTCAAATCTTATGTCCTAAACTAATAAGGCAGATTTGAACTTTATCGCTTTAGGAGGACATGTTATATTCTGTTTCTTTAAGTCTCAAATCTTATGTCCTAAACTAATAAGGCAGATTTGAACTTTATCGCTTTAGGAGGACATGTTATATTCTGTTTCTTTAAGTCTCAAATCTTATGTCCTAAACTAATAAGGCAGATTTGAACTTTATCGCTTTAGGAGGACATGTTATATTCTGTTTCTTTAAGTCTCAAATCTTATGTCCTAAACTAATAAGGCAGATTTGAACTTTATCGCTTTAGGAGGACATGTTATATTCTGTTTCTTTAAGACTCAAATCTTATGTCCTAAACTAATAAGGCAGATTTGAACTTTATCGCTTTAGGAGGACATGTTATATTCTGTTTCTTTAAGTCTCAAATCTTATGTCCTAAACTAATAAGGCAGATTTGAACTTTATCGCTTTAGGAGGACATGTTATATTCTGTTTCTTTAAGTCTCAAATCTTATGTCCTAAACTAATAAGGCAGATTTGAACTTTATCGCTTTAGGAGGACATGTTATATTCTGTTTCTTTAAGTCTCAAATCTTATGTCCTAAACTAATAAGGCAGATTTGAACTTTATCGCTTTAGGAGGACATGTTATATTCTGTTTCTTTAAGTCTCAAATAGTAGTTAGTGAACCAAGTTTGTTACTCAAAGTCCTCCCGCCCTCAAAAGGACCCGCCGACAAAAGGGTCCCCCAAAAATCCTGATAATTAATTGACTAATTGTTTCAGTACTATTAATTGACTACTTGTTTTTTGAAAGGATTAATTGGTTCGTTCACCTACTTATTAATTGGTTCACTAACTTCTATTAATTGTTTCCATTAAATAAAACTTATTTATCGACTAACTGTATTTAATTTTCTATTTTTCTCAATTCCTCTTGTTTTAAATTCGTATTAAGTATATCCCGAATAAACAATTATTTTATCTTTTATGGGGTGTAAAAAAACCACCCTTCCTTTTTTTCTTCTTCACATCATTTACCCAATTGAATTTAGACGTTATGAAATTAGAGATTTTTGGTTTGGAAAAATAATGGCTTTTCTCTTCCTTCTTTCTCTCTCTCTCCCTCAATTATTTTCTCTTTCTTTTTTAATAATCCTCTCAAACACTACATTCTCACAAAGATTATTGATTTAGGCGTCGCTTTTCATTTTCCTTCTTTTATTTTTACTTATTTCCTTTACCTTCTTTCACTTTATTCTAAATTTTTAGATGTTTTTTTTGATTGTTTATTAAAATTTTATATTTCTAATTTATTCATATTAAGGTTTTCTAATATAAATATATTTAATTTATACGTAGAATAAACAAATGTATTACTTATTTAAATATATAATTCTTGGGGACACAGGTTTTTTTTTGAAACAAATATATCAATTAAGCTTTAAATTTAAGGTGTTGGAAAGTCATGTATATTTTCTCAATTTACTGAAAAATGTTTCACACCAACTCATGATTCTGAAAATGGTCTACAATTTGGAGTAAGAAAGATTACTATTTATGGAAAACAAATTAAATTACAAATCTGGGACACTGATGGTTTGTTTTTATTTAATTATTGGTTCTTCTAAATGTTTATGATTAAATCATAAAAGGATAACATTTATTTTTACCCTAAATTAATTGGTTTGATCAAGATACTGACACCATAAATAGTAAAACATAGGGGCGAAAAACCATAGGGTCGAGAGTTTATACAAATGGAGCTCATTCGACTCAGCTCAATTAGTTTATAACCTAAGACTCTGACCATTTTAACACCTTGAGAAAGAGAAAAGAGGGGGGATACGAAATTCAAAATTACCAATTAATCTATAAATTAGATCAAGAATCATTTCGTCCAATTACTCGTTCTTACTATCAAGGAGCTGCTGGTGTTTTGCTTGTTTATGACATAACCCGGTAGAAATATTTTCATTTTATTTTAAAATTTAATAAAATATAGACGTGACACTTTTAATCATTTAACATCTTATTTAAAAAATGCACGAAATAATTCGAATTCTAATGTGGTTATTATGTTGATTGGTAATAAAAGGTATTTGCTTAAAAGGCATTGGCTAAAATTAACTTTTCTTTTAAAGTGATCTTAAATCAAGCCGTGAGGTTAAACGTAAAGAGGGTGAATCATTTGCACGTGAAAATGGTTTGGTCTTTATGGAGACTTCAGCAAAAACGGTAGCTAATGTTGAAAAAGCTTTTATTGATACAGCAAAGGAAATCTATAGGAAGATGCAGGTTGAAGTTTGTAAAAATTTTTATTGAAATATAAAATTATTTAAATTTTTGAATAACAATGACGATTATGTTGAGTCAATTTATGATAGAGTGAATTTTTTTGAGAAAATATTGGGTCGTCCGATGCGAAACTGCGCGTTTCGCGCACGGCTCAGTATACAAAAAATGGTAATTTTAATAATAATAATATACCAGATAGGAAAATTCTGGGACAAACAAGTAGACGCGTTGCCATAACGACGCAAATCCATAACTTGGTGGAAATTTTCTGACCCTTATTAATTTTGGTACCAATCTCATTAGCCCGATGAGAGGAATCGTTTAATACTAGATTCGGTAAGATTCGGAAAACATGAAGCAAGTGGCTGTATCTGAAAGGAGTGCCCGGATCGCATTTTTCCTTACATTTTCCTTACCTCGGAATGGGGTCAATTTTCCTTAGTATTTGATGTTTGTCATAAGGCAAAATTGTGTAAAAAATATTTTTTTCTCTGCTTATTTTGTTGGTTGAGTGGCAAAATTCGGTCTTACCAAAACTAGGTGCAATTTGTCTGTTGTTGTTTTTCCGTCCCGTTAGTTAGCCTGACAACAGAACAAAAAATCAAAGTTAACAGCACTCGTCCAAAAGACCCCAAATAAAATGGACCGAGTTTTGGTCTATAAAATGGACCGAGTTTTGGTCCTTTCATATACGGTCAAGCAAGTTATGGCTTTCGAGGTTATGGCCGCGCGCCTACTTGAGCTGTACCCATAAATTCTAGTTGAAATCGCCTGCTGTATCTAGGTCCAGTCAATTATATAAAATAAAGAACGTTGGACCTCTGAAGATCCGTTTATCTAAAAAAAAGAAAAGAACATATGGGAGTGTAGAAGAACGTGAGTGTTTTTATATTAAACCATTTAAAGTTTTATTCATTCTCAGTTGACGCCGAATTTGATTCATCCCTGTTGAACAAACAACAGGAAGAAGTTTCGGAGGTTTTATTGAATTTTTAAAATGATTTTAACCTCAGTCATTTAAAAAGGATGTTGTTGTTACCACTAGTGTTGAGCCAATTCTTAATGAGGGTGTTATTCTGACCAATGGAGGAAGTACTCATCAATCACCAAAGCCGGCTGCTGCTAATTTGGCTATTGTCTCTACTACTACTGGTTTTTTTATATAAAAAATATTTTAAATTTTATTTCCAGAGGCGATAATTGCTCCTCCTCCTGGTTTGGAAAAGGTCAACGAGAATGTCTTGCCTCTTCAAACAAACGTTTTTCCCCGACTATTTTTTCCGTCTTTAAAGTTTTACAAAAATATTTTTTCAGATTGCTATTGATTCTACGAATATTGTTGATACAACGGATGCTACTTTGGTTCCATCAATTGAGGTTTTGTCTAATTTTTATTTTCATTATTAGTAGAATTTTTTAATCTCTGAGGGTATCTATACTTACAAGGAGAGTTTGCGAGGTGTCCACCCTAAAAACGGTCGAGACCGGGCTCATTCGATAGAGAATGTGCGGTAATATTGAACGTGACAGACCCCCTTTTTTCCTCCCCAAGTTTTTACCCTATAATTTTACAGAATGGTCAAACTTTTTCCTATCTCCCATCCCAATTGTCTTTCTACAAATCTTATTTTTGTCTTAAAGCTCATTTACTTTCTAAGTTTAACTATTTATGTTTTTAGGAGCAACGTCCACCAAATTATAATCGATTTTCACTAGATGAAAGTGTAGTTATTTCACCAAAACCAACGATTCCACCAGTTCAAATTCCTCTGATCCAAGAGGAAGAAAGGAATCATTGCAGTCATTGCGGTCAACAACTTAATGAAATTCTTCAAAACAGAGAGAGCTCTCAAACAACAACAATTGAACCTAATAATAATAGTGGTTTGGGTGAAAAAACAGTAACTAAAAATCTATAAAATTATTTTTAAACCATTATTAGAAAATAATTAAACTTTGTTATAAATTTAGCAATTGTTGCAAGTACTTCGACCTGCAACGAGTAATGATGGTCAACAACAACAAATTTCTGCACAAGATGGTAGTGGTGCTGAGTTTGTTGGTGGTGTCGGCAAGTTATGTTTTAAAATTTTTAAATAAAATTTAATTTTGTGTGGAAGCCTGTTACCATTCCTAGAGTGGAAGATGGGTACCAAACAGGTTGGAGGCCTGTTACCACTCCTAGGAGTGGAAGATGGGTACTAACCAGGTTGGAGGCCTGTTACCACACCTAGGAGTGGAAGATGGGTACCAACATGGTTGGAGGCCTGTTACCACTCCTAGGAGTGGAAGATGGGTACCAACATGGTTGGAGGCCTGTTACCACTCCTAGGAGTGGAAGATGGGTACCAACATGGTTGGAGGCCTGTTACCACTCCTAGGAGTGGAAGATGGGTACCAACATGGTTGGAGGCCTGTTACCACACCTAGGGGTGGAAGATGGGTACCAACACGGGGGTCCCAATATAAAATTTAAAAATTTTTTTGCCAAATTATTTAATAAAAATTTTTGCAGCACAATGCCAGGAACAAGAGAAGACATAAAGAAAAAAAGCTGAAATATCGTCTACAGAAACAAGTGAAATTTTGGAAATTTTTAAAATAATTTATTTATTTAAAAATTTTTTAAATTTAAAATAAACTAAAATTATTAAACATTAAGAATGGCTCTGTTTGAGTTTATGGATGTATGAGCATGGAAGAAAATTTTGAAGAAAATAAATTAAATTTAAAAAATTTTTTATTTTTATTTCTAAGATAAAGATTTAAAAATTTTTTGATTTTTCTATTTTAAATAATTTAAAGCTTTTTATGAGGCTTTACAAAATTTTTAAGGAAAATTTCGAAAGTAACCAATTTTTCCTTAACAAATTTGTCCTTAATTTGTAAAGAAATTTCTTAAGAAATCTTCTTACAAACGAAAAAATATACATTTTCCATCTCACGGAGCATGCTTGTTTTTAATCTTTTATTTAAACAAAAATTTGAATAAATAAATTAAATCGATTCTTTTAAAAGAACAAGAAAAATTTTTTGACATTTAATGTGTTTGTTTGTTTATAAGTTTATTGTCATTTATTTTGTCAATTGAAGAAAAGAAGCCGTGTTGTGGATCAAAATAAAATACTTGAATGTAAAGTGGTAGAAAAATTTTGGAAAATTATTAAACATGGAGAGAATCAAAGGGAAAAATTTTTGGTTGAAAACGAATAAAATGTTTTATTAAATTTATTTAAAATGGTTTATTAATTAGCTAATTAATTAATTGCACATGGTAAACAAATATTAGATTGAATTACTTTTTTCCACTATTAGATTCATCTTAGTGTAGGTGATAACAATTTCTATCCATAGTTTGAGGATTTTGGACATTCGATTGAAAAGTTATTTACAAGAAAAAATACAAACTTTGATGAGAAGGTTGACCATTACGTACATTCTTTAAAAAGTGGAAACACAAACTTAACTATTACCGAGTTTATAATAGGTTGAGCTTTTTCATAATAAATTTTATAAGAATAATTTCAACAGTTTTATTCAGAGTGCAAATTAACAAGGTATGCACGAAAAATTAACAAGATTTGCACGAAAAAAGTTGGATTAATAGTTTCAGAAAATATGTTATTTTAAGACTTTCTAAAATTATGACGAAAAATCGAAAAGTACTCTATCCAATCTTTTAAAATACAACAATAATCAACTCAAATAGTAAGTCTTCTCCCAAAAATTCGAAACATCTTGGTAATAGTTAAGTTTGTGTTACCCTCTTTTTGGAGAGAATTTTCCCTTTCTTTTCCCTTTTTTGATGGGAACTAAAAATTTTTAGAGCTTCTCATCTACATGAAAACCTTTGTTTAAGTTATAATGATGGCTTGAGGATTTTGGACAACGCTTATACAATAAGTGTGAAGGTAGAAAACTATTCATGACATTAAAGGTAGCTGATTTTTAGGTTTTTGTGTTTTTAAAAGCCGAAAATATGTAGTGTTAGAAGAAAGGGAGAACGAAATCTGACCATACTGTAGTAAGAAAGAAAAACCCGTACACAAACTTAACTATTACCAACATCTCACCAATTAACCTCAAAAAACCCCTCATACAATCAATCTCTCAAAAATCTCTCTAAACCCCAAGAAATTCCCCAAAGATTCCAATTCCTCACAAACACTTCTTCAAGCCGCTGCTGCTGAACCATCAGCGCCGGGTGCTAAAGGAGGACCAGGTGGACGACGGATTACATAAGGTTTGCAGCGTCGTCCCGCTGAAAATATTTGAAATTTATTTTTAATATTTTAACTCTTACATCCGGTCCTCCGCACTACTAATTGATCTCTAGTTCGATCAAATTCTGCGAGCTCCCTTCGAAAATTGAGCATGCCTTGAAGGGTAGCTTGTCTGCGTGCTACACTTCGTTCTGCCTGTGAAAAAGTAAGAGTTTAGCAAAAGTTTAGCCACCGGACAGGATTCGAAACAGTGTTTGCTCGGTCCCATTTACAGGTGCTCTACCTCTTATGTATCGGGGCGACGACTAATGCTTTCCCTTTTCCCCTTATGTTCTTTTAACCCCTGCCCAAATGTTTTAAAACGTTGATAAGTGAATCCAATATTTAAAGAATATTAGAATAGAAAAAAATTTTTAATAATAGAAAAGTTTTAACCGATGCTCGCAATGCTGCGACCTCTCGAGTTATTTGCGAAACTCGGTCGGTCAAGCTTGCGACTTGAAGGTGAATGGCTTCCAAATGTTGCCTTGCCTCGCCAAGCTCACTAGAAATGTTGTTGAGAATATTGTCGATAGCGGCCAGATCAACATTATTCGAAGAATTTGAAGAATTTGAAGAATTCGAAGACGAATTCGAAGAATTATTAGATTTAGAATAACACATTTTTCAAAAATTTTTTAAAAATCTTAAAATACTAACTAGAAATATAAAAAAAGTTCAAGAAAAGAGTAAATGAAATGAATGTGTATATAGGAAACATCCGCAGAGATAAGATCAACTGCCGCAATATGGCGATTTACTATGTCCTTGGAGAGTCCCAATAATAGAAAGGGTGTCGAGAAAATTTAAAAGTCGAGGAACACTAATTCAAAACGAGAAAACAGACACTATCTACCTATGAAATCGAGACTAGAAAAATCGAGAATGTCAATAAACTAACGCAATTAATCATTTTTGTTTTTGTAAATTCAAATATAAGAATATGCCAAACAAAAAAATGTTAAAAAATAAGATTGACCTTTGATATTAAAAATTATTGTATGAAAATTTTATAAAAATAATTTTAAATTATACAGTATATTTATAGAGTTATAGTATTTTTTCTCTAATTTAAATTTCTTTAAAATTTGAAGTTTGGCATTTTGTATAAACGATATCGGGGCGAGTATAAAAGGCTGATCTGAATCCTCCAAATCCCATTCTGAATAATAATAATAATGACTCTTTTAATCAACGAATGTGCCAGGATCTTGGATTGTAATGTAAAGGCACTTCGCGACCGATTAAATCACCCAGAGAATAGAGCCAAAATTATGAAAGAGCTCCTCTGCCGTAAAGTCCAAACTACATATAATGATAGAAATGGATTCAAAAAATCCTTTGCTTTAAGTGGATTAACAATAAATGGTGCCACTTCTATTCCTGCTTATGGACGACTTCACCGAAATTTTAATGTCAGTGTTGCCGCACATTTTTTCGCGCGACACAGAATACGACTTGAATATCCATATCTCCAATGCGCAATTGAGTGTTTTTCAAAAGGCGAAAATGACACTACCCTCTCGAACTTTTAGAACTTGTAGGTGAAAAGAAGAATGATGTTCCTAGTTGGTTAGGGGGTATATACTCGGACAATCCAGATATGAGATGTTCAACTAGTCCAGTAATCTTCAAAAAAATTAGTGAAGACGAGGATGAAG